AATCTGAGGATATAAAATATTCATATTTAGTGTTTATAATGTTTAAAAGCTGTGGTGGGCACAGTTCCCATAAAGCACTAAAGCACTAGGGGAACTAATTTCTTGATTAGTGCTTTAGGGCTTTTGCCATTTTTAAACTCATTAGTGGATTAGCACTTGCTAAATTTATGGGCTAATATTTAGAAGCACTGAGGTCTTTAAATGTTATTGATCAACATTATTGTTCACAGTTGAGGGTGAAAGCTTTCACACATTATGTTCATATGTGTGTCACTTATCTACAAGGTCATGTGTCAAACTCAAGGCTCACGGGCCAAATGTGGCCTGAGGGTGACTCATATTTGGCCCGCCAAGAGCACTAAGTGACAACATTCTGCACACAGTAAATATTGTCTCATGTTGACTCTGAAGAATGTTTCATGTCTCAACTGGATTATTTTAGTGCTTTAGAATTAGCTTTATTTTTCAGTGTGTTAGTGCTTTAGAATTAGGGGACTTAAATATTTGTTAGTGCTTTAAGGTTAGTGCAGCTAATATTTAGATTAGTGCTGCCCACCACTGTTTAAATGTAAGTACTAAATTAACAGAAAAACGTTGAAATGCTGCGATTTCTCACCACCTTTTTTTCCTCTCACGCTCCGCTCGTCAGCAGACCTGTAGCTCCGCCTCCTGGCTTTACTGAAACAAATTATTTACTAAATCCTCGCCGCTAAAAGAGACACAAACTATTTTGTATATTAGTAATTTAGCTTTAGCTTCCACCGATTCTTTTTAGGTCTGTGTAGCTTTTTATCGTCAGCAGAACTAAATAATTTAAGTCGCGGTTTTGGGGTTAGGAAGCTAACTATTTCGTTAGCTGTTTTAGCTTCATGAAAACAATTTCCCTGTTTTCTAAAAGTGCAGCACACACACACACACCCAAAATAATAATAATGATCCTAGTTTGAATTATTTAGGTGATTTATAATCAGGTCAGGTGACATACACCCAGGAAGTGCGTGTTTGTACCGTTTCGTTGCTCTAGATGCGTCTTCATGTTGCACAGTTCTCCCTTTATGTCCCCGGGAACCTCCATGCCCAACTTCTGGTAGAATTCCCTCTGCTTCTTTATCTCCGCTGAGAATAACAATAASAAAAACAAAAAAACATCTACTCTCCCCTCGAGATCAACGTTATAAAGTTTGTTTGTTGTGTTCGGCGACTCTCACCCTCTTGAAGTCCCGGTACCAGTTTGTAGACGATGTCCTGCATTGTTCTGTCATGGCTGAAAACAGGAGAGTTAGCGGTTAGCTTTTAGCTTGTTAAATTCTTTAATCTTTCAAAAACAACAGAGAGTAAAAGCCCGTGTTATTTGGAGAATACGTATTTGATTTTTATTTCCCAGGAAGTATCTGCACCTGCGATGTTCACTTCCACCCACCAGCTGATTTTTACGGTGTGCCCCCCCC